TGGGGGGCCCCCGATGGCCTATTTTAAGACTTGAAGTGTTGGAAGGGCATTTTTTGACATAGTTTTCAAATCGGGAGTCCCGTGCTAGTTCCGTAAGTTTTCACAACTTACATTTGTGCCTCCCGGGGTGTTTAACGTGTTCCCCGGGCCTTCTCGTGACTGTTACACGATTTTGGCCCTCGACGGCTTATTTTCGCGCTTAAGTGTGAAAAAAATGCATTTTTTGATTTAGTTCTCAAACCGAAAGTCCCGTGCTAGTTCCGTAAGTCTCCGCAACTTACCTTGGACCGTCCCGAGGTGTTTGGGGCATTTTCCGGTCCTTCTCGTGACTGTTACACGGTTTTGGCCCCCCACGGTGTCCTATTTCCAAGCTTAAGTATGGAAAAAGTGTCTCTTTCTAACTCAGTTTTCAAAACGGGAGTCCCATGCTAGTGCCGTAAGTTTTCACAGCTCGCGTTGGTCACTCCCATGGTGTTTGAGGTGTTCCCGGCCCTTCTTGCCACTGTTACATGATTTTAGCCCCCCGATGGCCTACTACCAAGCTTAAGTGTTAGAAAAGTGTATTTTCCGACCTAGTTTTCAAACCGGGAGTCCCATGCGAGTTCCGTTAGTTTCCGCAACTCACGTTAGTTTTCAAACCGGACCTTCCCTAGGTGTTTGAGGTGTTCCCCAGACCTTCTCTTGACTTTCACAAGATTTTGGCCCCCCAATGGACTATTTTCAAGCTTAAGTGCGACAAAAGTGCCGTTTCGGACTTAGTTTTCAAACCGGAAGTCCCGTGCTAGTTCTGTAAGTTTTCACAACTTACATTGGTCCCTCCTGGGATGTTTGACGTGTTTAATTTCGCGCTTAAGTGAGAAAAAAGTGCATTTTTTGATTTAGTTCTCAAACCGAGAGACCGAGAGTCTCGTGCTAGTTCCGTAAGTCTCCGCAACTTACCTTGGACCCTCCCGAGGTGTTTGGGGCATTTTCCGGTCCTTCTCGTGACTGTTACACAGTTTTGGCCCCCTCCCCGGTGTCCTATTTCCAAGCTTAAGTGTGGAAAAAGTATCTCTTTCCAACTTAGTTTTCAAACCTGGAGTCCCGTGCTAGTGCTGTAAGTTTTCACAACTCGCGTTGGTCACTCCCAAGGTGTTTGAGGTGTTCCCGGCCCTTCTTGCCACTGTTACATGATTTTGGCCCCCCGATGGCCTACTTCCAAGCTTAAGTGTTAGAAAAGTGTATTTTCCCACCTAGTTTTCAAACCGGGAGTCCCAGGCGAGTTCCGTTAGTTTTCGCAACTCACGTTGGTCCCTCCCTAGGTGTTTGAGGTGTTTCCCGGACCTTCTCTTGACTTTCACACGATTTTGGACCCCCGATGGACTATTCTCAAGCTTAGGTGCGTAAAAAGTGCTGTTTCAGACTTAGTTTTCAAACCGGGAGTCCCGTGCTAGTTCTGTAAATTTTCACAACTTACATTGGTCCCTCCCTGGGTGTTTGACGTGTTCCCTGGGCTTTCTCGTGACTGTTACACGATTTTGGCCCCCGACGGCTCATTTTCGCGCTTAAGTGTGAAAAAAGTGCATTTTTTCATTTAAGTTCTCAAACCGGGAGTCCCGTGCTACTTCCGTAAGTTTCCACAACTTACATTGGTCTCTCCCGAGCTGTTTGAGGTCTTCCTCGAGCCTTCTCGTGATTCTTACACGATTTTGGGCCTCAATAGCCTATTTTCAACCATAAGTATGAGAAAAGTGCATTTTTTGACTTAGTTTTTAAACCGGGAGTCTCGTGCCTGTTCCATACATTTCCACAACTTAAATTGGTCCCTCCCGAGGTGTTTGAGGTGTTCCTTAGGCCTTTTTCTGACTGTTACACGATATTGGCCCCCGATGGCCTTTTTTCAAGCTCAAGTGTGAGAAAAGTGCCTTTTTCTACCTAGTTTTCAAACTGGGACTCCCATGCTAGTTTTGTAAGTTTTCACAACTTACATTGGTCTATCTCGAGGTGTTTGGGGTGTTTCGCGGGGGTTCTAGTTACAGTTACACAATTTTGGCCTCCCGATGGCCTATTTTCAACCTTAATTGTGAAAAAAGTGCATTTTTTGACTTAGTTTACAAGTCAGAAGTCCCGTGCCAGTTCTGTAAGTTTTCACAACTTACATTGGTTCTTCTTGAGGTGTTTGAGGTGTTCCGCTGGGGTTCCCGTGACTGTTACACAATTTTGGGCCCCCGATGGCCTATTTTCAAGCTTCAGTGTGAAAAAAGTACATTTTTTGACTTAGTTTTCAAGCGGGGAGTCCTGTGCTAGTTTCGTAAATTTTCACTACTTGTATTGGTCCCTCCCGAGGTGTTTGATGTGTCCCATGGGCCTTCTCGTGATTGTTGCCCGATTTTGGGCCCCGATGGCCTATTGTCAAGCTTAAGTGTGAATAAAGTGCCTTTTTAGACTTTGTTTTCAAACTGAGAGTCCCGTGCTAGTTTTGTAGGTTTCCAAAGTTTACATTGCTCCCTCTCGAGGTCCGGGCCTTCTCGTGACTTTTACCTGATTTTGGCCCCTGATGGCATATTTTCAACCTTAAATGTGAAAAAAAGGACATTTTTTGACTTTAGTTTTCAAACCGGTAGTCCCGTGCTAGTTCCGTAAGTTTTCACAACTTACATTGGTCCATCCCGAGGTGTTTGAGGTGTTTCCCGAGCCTTTTCGTGACTGTTACACGATTTTGGCCCACGAAGGCCTATTTTCAAGCTTAAGTGTGAAAAAAGTGTATTTTTCGACTTAGTCTTCAAACCGGGAGTCTCGTGCTGGTTCTATAAGTTTCCACAACTAACATTGGTCCCTCTTAAGGTGTTTGAGGTGTTCCGCAGGATTTTTCGTGACTGTTACACCCATTTTGGCCACCAATGGCCTATTTTAAAGATTAAGTGTGAAAAAAGTGTATTTTTTCACTTAGTTTTCAAACTGGGAATCTCATGCCTGTTCTGTAAGTTTCTACAACTTACATTGGTCCCTCCCGAGGTGTTTGAGGTATTCCCCGGGCCTTCTCGTGACTGTTAATCAATTTTCACCCGCTGACGGCCTATTTTCAAGTTTAAGTGTGAAAAAAGTGCCTTTTTCGACTTAGTTTTCAAACAGGGAGTCCCGTGTTATTTCTGTAAGTTTCCACAACTTACATTGGTCCGTCTCGAGGTGTTTGAGATGTTCCTTGAACCTTCTCGTGACTGTTACACAATTTTGGCCCTGACAGCCTATTTTCAACCTTGAGTGTGAAAAAAATGCATTTTTTGACCTAGTTTTCAAACCAGGAGTCCCGTGCTAGTTCCGTAAGTTTTCACAACTTCCATTGGTCCCTCCCGAGGTGTTTGAGGTGTTCCCCGAGCCTTCTCGTGACTGTTACTCGATTTTGGCCACCGATGGCCTATTTTCAAGCTTAAGTGTGAAAAATGGGCTTTTTTCGACTTAGTTTTCAATCCGGAAGTCCCGTGCTAGTTTCGTAAATTTCTCCAACTTACTTTTGTCTCTCTTGAGGTATTTGATGTGTTTCCGAGGCCTTCAGATTTTCCATGATTTTGGCCCCCAATTGCCCATTTTCAAGCTTAAATGTGAAAAAAGTACATTTTCCCGTGCCAGTTCCATTAGTTTCTACAACTTACATTGGTCCCTACCGAGGTGTTTGAGGTTTTGCCTGGGCCTTATCGTGACAGTTACACTATTTTTGCCCCTGATGGCCTATTTTCAACCTTGAGTGTTTGAAAAGTGCATTTTTTGACTTTGTTTTCAAACCGGGAGCTCCATGCTAGTTTCGTAAGTTTTCATAACTTATACACGATGACCTATTTTCAAGCTTAAGTGTGAAAAAAGTGACTTTTTTGACTTAGTTTTCAAACCCAGAGTCCCGTACTAGTTCCGTAAGTTTCCACAGCTTACATTGGTCCTCCGTGTTTGAGGTGTTCCCTATGCCTTCTCGTGACTGTTACACGATTTTGGCCTCCGATGGCCTATTTTCAACCGTAAGTGTGAAAAAAGTGCCTTTTTCGACTTAGATTTCAAACCGTGAATCCCATGCTAATTCCGTAAGTCCCTCCCGAGTAGTTTGAGGTATTCCCTGAGCCTTCTCGTGACTGTTATACGATTTTGAACATTGACGGCCTATTTTCAAGCTTAAATGCGAAAAAAGTGAATTTTTTGACTTACTTTTAAAACCGGGAGTCCCGTGCTAGTTCCTTATTTTCAATAACTTACATTGTTCCCTCCCGAGGTGTTTGAAGTATAGCCCGGCCTTCCCATGACTGTTACACGATTTTGGCACACCGAGGCCTATTTTCATGCTAACGCGTGAAAAAAGTGTCGTTTTCGACTTAGTTTTCAAACCAGAAGTCCCGTGCCAGTTTCGTAAGTTTTCACAACTCACATTGGTCCCTCCTGAGGTGTTTGAGGTGTTCCCATGCCTTTGCATGACTGTTACACGTTTTTTGCCCCCGATGGCCTATTTTCAAGCTTAAGTGTGAAAAAATTGTCTTTTTCGACTTAGTTTTCAAATCGGGAGTCCTGTGCTAGTTCCATAAGTTTCCACAACTTACATTGGTCCCTCCCGAGGTGTTTGAGGTGTTCCCCGGTCCTTCTCGTAACTGTTGCATGATTTTGGCCCCCGATGGCCTATTTTCAAACATAAATGTGAAAAAAGTGACTTTTTCGACTTAATTTTCAAACCGGAAGTCCCGTGCTAGTTCCGTAAGTTTTCAAAACTTATGTTGGTCCCTCTCGAGGTGTTGGTGGTGTTCCCCAAGCCTTCTTATGATTGTTACACAATTTTGGCCCCCAATGGCCTATTCTTAAGCATAAATGTGAAAAAAGTGAATTTTTTAACTTAGTTTTCAAACCAGGAGTCTTGTACTAGTTCCGTAAGTTTCCACAGCTTACGTTAGTCCCTCCTAAGGTGTTGGAGGTGTTCCCCGGTCCTTCTCATGACTGTTACACGATTTTGGCCTCCAATGGCCTATTTTCAAGCTTAAGTGATTAAAAAGTACATTTTTTGACATAATTTTCAAACCGAGAGTCCCGAGCTAATTCTGTAAGTTTTCACAACTTACATTGGTCCCCCCCGAGGTGTTCGAGGTGTTACCCTGGACTTCTCGTGACTGTTACACGATTTTGGCTCCCGATGGACTATTTTAAAGCTTAAGTGTGAAAAAAGTGCATTTTTCAACTTCAATTTATGAATTCGGTATTAAACACATACCTAAAGTCTTCAAGAACACTAATTCTAGCAATTTCTTAAGTTGTCTCTTCCTCAATTCTTCAATTCTCAAGCAAAATTCCAAGCTTCCAAGCTCTTCTCTCTGAAATTGAGTTTCTTCTCTCTCTAAACTTTAATTGTCGGCAGATTTTTATGTCTAAATGAGATTAATTAACATTTCTCATAGTTTAGCTTAGGGCCTTAATTAGGGATCAAGTTAGTTAAATAGAGCTTAAGACTAATTAATCAAGGCTTAATTTAATTAATTTAATCTTAATCAAATTTTATCAAACTTCTGACATCATTAAGGCCTTCAATTTCAGATTATAACCGAAATCACAATAGATATTCCTACGGTTAACAGATATGAACCTAAAAATCACATTAAACACATAATAAGCATTCAAATTCACAGAAAGCACTTAAATAACATTCAAAACCAATGATTAACAGGGTTGTCACAAGATCAATATTGCTTACCAACAACAAAATGTTTACTGGATTTTATAATTCAGAATAGGAAAAGTGGATAATCAAATTAAAGTCACACATAGCTCCATAAAAGACAACTTTAAGGGCAGAACTTAATTTATATGACACAAAATACAACAATTATTTCGTTGTGGTGATAAAAATACCTATACAAGAATAGTAAATATAAGTTGGATGCTAGAAGTGCACAAGGACCAAGCTTTCCTTCCACCACACGCTAGGTCAGATAAAAATTTCCACAGTAAAATGTTTATTGGATTTTATAAATCATAATGGGAAAATTAGATTACCAATTTAAATCACACAACTCCATAAAAGACAACTTTGAGGGCAAAAAACTTAATTTGTATGACACAAAATACAACAATTATTTTGTTGTGGTAATAAAATACATATACAAGAATAAGTAAATATAAGTTAGACGCTAGTAGTGCACAAGGGCCAAACCTTCCTTCCCAACACCCCAAGTCAGATAAAAATTTCCACAGTGTGAAATAGCATGGACTAAGCAATATCATTTGTCAAGCGCTTGTGCCGGTTGTAAAGCATCTCCAAGAAGACCTTTGAAGCCCTGTCAACTGTTTTACACCATGTCTACATGAAAAGAAAAAATCAAAAAAAAAAAAAAAAAAAAAAAAAAAAAAAAAAAAAAAAAAAAAAAAAAAAACTAATAATAGTAATCAATAAAATGAAGAAATAAATAGAGGCAATTCACAGTTAAACATTAAGTTGACATTGAACTGCTATAGTTCACAATAATTTAATGAATCTCAAGGTGTAAATAGAAACTATTCCAATAGTTGTTGAAATCAGGTGATGGAGTGGTGGCAGTGATGGCGTACCACAGCCAATCTTGCTATCTAATGTAATGACAATCACATGCTGGTGCAATCATTATGACAACGATAACGATACAAATCAAAAGAAAACGTGTACTTTCAAAATTTCAATCTCTTTTAACTATAAGTAAAATGAATTTTACCTAACCAAAAAAGTAAAATGAATTTTCTGTCTGATTTCTAATCTCACCCTTCCCAAAACACTTGTAGTAGGTATGTGCTTTAAGTCTTATCAATTTTGATACTTTAGGATTAAAGTCTTGTGAGTGTATACAGCCTTCCGTTTGCATGCTGACCAACACCTAGGTTCAGTTTTTCCTAAAGGAAGTCTTTATTATTAACTCCATTCTTACATTGTGCTAATCTAACATATATCGCCCTTAATACCAGCCATGCTTCGGCGTGGAAAAAATCATCGCAACCACTCTATGGGAACATTTACTCTGGTGAAAGTTTCCTGCAGTTGAAATGCAAAATGTCATGCTTTAGGTCTTATCAATTTTGATACTTTAGGATTAAAGTCTTGTGAGTGTATACAGCCTTCCATTTGCATGCTGACCAACACCTAGGTTCAGTTTTTACTAAAGGAAGTCTTTATTATTAACTCCATTCTTACATTGTGCTAATCTAACATGTATCGCCCTTAATACCAGCCATGCTTCGGCGTGGAAAAAATCATCGCAACCACTCTATGGGAACATTTACTCTGGTGAAAGTTTCCTGCAGTTGAAATGCAAAATGTCATGCTTTTTGGTAACTATACAGCGCCATTCCTAGGGAACAAAATCTACGTATATCCCATGATCTACGTATATCCCAAATTTTAGTTGACTTGTATAAATCTTTCTTAGCCAGGCTTAAAATATAACCCTAATAAGCCCTCATCTATAAACAGGGTTTTATTTCACATCTTTTGGTCAAACGACTATTGCAGTAACTTTTCAAATAAAAAATTAATTTGACAATGCTAAAGATCTAGTGATTCAGATAAAGTGCTAATGCTTCACACTTAAAATGTTGTTTGGCACTTGAATAAGGTCTAGAGGAGATTTAGCCCTCAAAATGGAAAAGAAATTGCTTAGGATTGATAACATAACATGACAGAGATTATGAATTGTTCATTTTATTCAATTAAACCAGTACGAATTTGCTTTATGCCAATCAATTCTGCAATCAATATAATAATCAATTAGACACACAAAAGGATTCCCTTTTTCTTTTTTTTTTCCCTTCTTCTTCCTGTCGAAAATCAAAACGGACAAAAACCATAGGATCCCGTAGCCAACCAATTCACCATTAGTAAGGGGAAAAAAAAAATAAAAACAATCCAACCCTAACCCAGTTCATGTGCCTTAGGTGTTGAATCCTAAAACTTGCTAGCGTGTTTCTTATACCACTGGAAATCGGCGATGTTTGTTCCTGAATGGTTGGTAGAGTATCAAGCATCCACGATACTCTATGAATTCACCACAAATTAAACGCGATCCACCATTGACCAGGAAATCACCAAAACAAACTTGAAATGTATTAAAGTGATGTAAAACGCATATTAATCAATTGATAGTGCAAGTGAATATGGATGCTTCTCTTATTTGAAAATTTTATTTTGGTTACAACTAGTTTAATTCTCCTCTAGTACGAAATTGTTGGTCCATTTTAACTATTCCAAACATCCCAAAAAAATCATCTATGTTTTTTTATTTATTCTTTCTTTTAATTTGTAGGAAAAAAAAATACATTATTTATTGACCCTACTAAAAGGCATGAATGCTGAAAATTGACAAACAGTTGGGGATGGAACGAGTATTTATAAATGAGATGACTTGAAGACCAATCCCATCCAAAATCCAAGTTAAAACCACCTTAGACTTTGCAAAATCGTTGGCCACTGCTCGAGCCATGAAAATCCCTAGAGATTGGGTGTCTGCTTCCACTTGAGATCTGAGTTTTTTAATAGATTGGGTGTCTGCTTTCACTTGAGATATCAGCTTTTTAATAGATGGAAACAAAGTTGATTGAAAACTCACAATTTTCATACAATGGAAGATTTTTTCTTTCAAGCTTGTCACTTAGCTATCCTTCAAGTCAAAAGTTTTCCTATAAAAAATTGGATATATTGCGATTAAGATTTTTCTTTATACTTTTGTTTGGATTTGACTTGCTTTCATATGTATTTTTTCTTCTATGATTTTGCTAAGCAGTCAAGTCACACAAGGAGAGTTCTTTCCATTCTAGTTGCTCCCAATATGTATTATTATTTCTTCTATGATTTTGCTAAGCAGACACAAAGCAGGAATAAAATGATTGATATTTGCTCCCAATAGGTATTATTTCTTCAATTGTGATTTTGAAGGTTGGAGCTAGTCCTCCTAGGCATTTGTACATCAACTTCTCAACACACCAAAATCCCATCCAATCAATTTCCATTTGATTCAAATTCTTGTTAGCCCTCCAACACATAAGAGAATATAATGATTGATGTTGGCCCTCCAGTACTACTAAATCAATGACAGCCTAAGTTTTCTAATCCAAGATTAAATAGTCTGAGAATTCAACATGACCAGCCTTAAGACAACCAACTTTATTTTGTTCAAGTTGTATCTCAAAGGGGAATAATGAAGGAGAATTTTCCTCTTCCTGGTAGATAAAATCTAGAATGAGACACAAGGAGAAATCCCGAGCAAAAATTACATAAGAGGGAAAAAGGCCAAACTATACATCAGCCCATAAGCTAAATTCTTCCAGCAAATCAATCAAGAAACAAAAGAAAGAGATTCCTAATAGTATTTATCAATAGAGAGAGAGAGAGAGAGAGAAATCCAAAAACAACCAACTTTATTTTGTTCATGTTGTATCTCAAAGGGGAATAATGAAGGAGAATTTTCCTCTTCCTGGTAGATAAAATCTAGAATGAGACACAAGGAGAAATCCCGGGCAAAAATTACATAAGAGGGAAAAAAGCCAAACTATACATCAACCCATAAGCTAAATTCTTTCGACAAATCAATCAATAAACAAAAGAAAGAGATTCCTAATAGTATTTATCAAAAAGAGAGAGAGAGAGAGAGAGAGAGAGATTCCTAATAGTAATCCAAAAAAAGGCTCAATATCAAATGTTTCGACTCCAAAATAAAAACTACACTTCCATTAAAGATTCTCCTGTTGTGCTCCTAGATGCATCACCAAAAACAAATCACTGAAGACTCCGGCCCATTTCTTTCTTCCTCTTTCTTCTTTCCTTTTTTTTTTTTTGACAAGTAAATATATTAGAAAGGTACCAAAAAAAAGGAGCCACAGTCACCACTTTACACCAGCTATGTTTGATTTCGGTTTGGATTAGGCAGATAAGATACCCCCGAATGTGTAAGCCAGTCGAAGGCATTTTAGTCATTCACATGCAAAAGAGTTATCCCCGGTTTAACTGTCCCACCCCTAGGACAAAATAATCCCTCATATGTAGGTAAAGGGGTCACGTGGGATTAGCTATTCTGAGCAACTTTTGCAATACCAAATGTGGGATTATTTACGCAGTCAAGTCACACAAGGAGGGTTCTTTCCATTCTAGTTGCTCCCAATATGTATTATTATTTCTTCTATGATTTTGCTAAGCAGACACAAAGGAGGAATAAAATGATTGATATTTGCTCCCAATAGGTATTGTTTCTTCAATTGTGATTTTGAAGGTTGGAGCTAGTCCTCCTAGGCATTTGTACATCAACTTCTCAGCACACCAAAATCCCATCCAATCAATTTCCATTTGATTCAAATTCTTGTTAGCCCTCCAACACATAGGAGAATAAAATGATTGATGTTGGCCCTCCAGTACTACTAAATCAATGACAGCCTAAGTTTTCTAATCCAAGATTAAATAGTCTGATTCAGAAGCCAAATTGAACACAAAAATGGAATATGCAATGCTGTAGTAACAAGAGAATCAAATTCTACATATATAAGTTGAGAATTCAAACAACTAAATTTGGCACAATTAATATGTATATATGTAAATATATAGCACATATTATGTATGTAAAATTACTAACCTTGTCAATTGTGGCGAAAATGGACATGTTCTTGAAATCCCTGGACCTGAGCCGTGACCTCCCAATCCCCAGCCGCCGAATCAGCGCAGACGACATCCGGGTGGATGCCGCCACAGCAGGAAGAAGCGATTTCCTCTCAACCAAACTGGCCCGACGGCTTAAGGAGGAGGAGGAGGAGGAGGGGTTCTCACGGTACTGCTCATCATCATCAAAGTCGTTTCTTCATCATCATCAATCACAAAAAAAACCAATTCAGTAAAATTCATATTGTTATTGTAGTAAAGACACATAATCAGATCAACCCAGAAAAGAGGAAAGAAAATAAAACATCAGATCAATCATTATTGGTTGGATTGAAAGGTGTGTAATAATTTCACAAACAAAAAAAATAAAAAATAAAAATTCTTGATACTACAAATATATATATATATATATATAATTCATGATCAAAACACCGATAATGATTTTGGCTCTCATAATTTAATTTCTGAACATTTTTTTTTATTTTTTTCCTAGAAAATTGTTAGTTTGGGGGAAAATAAAAATTGACAAGATTTTTTAAGAGAGAGAGAGAGAATGGGGGCATACTTGGATCCATATCGGTGCTAACAAGCTGCAACACAACATTCCTTCCGATCTTGTCGGTGAGAGCATCCAAACGTTTTACAAGTGCCTTCTTCAAGCCTTCCTTGTGCTTCTTCCTCACAGTCACCACTGCTCACAGTCTCGTTCAAGATTTTTTGAGAGAGAGAGAGAGAGGAGGAGGATAAAAAGATGTAAGGGAACATTTGTCTCCGTTGCAATTTTGTGAGAGAAATGCACCGTTGGGTGGGGGCGGTGGTGTATATAGCCGTTGTCCAAACACACCCCTCAAAATTCTAATAACTAAAGTCTTTTGAAATTGTAATTCTAATAAAAAAAATTTAAAATTCTTTTCCAAATGTGGAACTAAGCATACAACTCAAAATTTAATTTAAAATTCTTTTCAGAATTTATAACTAAACTCTTTTTAAAACTTTATTTAAAGAAAAATTTTTAAAAATATTTTTTTATTTTATGTTTTAAAATCATGATTTTATTTTTTAAAATATTTAATTTTTTTAATTTCAAAAAAATTTAGATGGCCATATATATCTAAAGGGTTTTTTTTTTAAGGTCCATCGTATTAAAATTTTATAGCATAAAGGAAATCAAATATTTTCATAATGTCTAAGGTCCTTCAAGTTGGTCCAGAAAAAATTCACATCACAGATAAAATTGCTCTAGAGAAATTTCTCTCCAGAGAAATTCTCATCTAGAATTTCTCTGGACCTCTGAGAGAATTTCTCTCCAAAGAACAAATTTCTCTGAGTTTGTTTTATTGAAATTTCACTGAGTTGTCTCAGTAAATTTCGCTGAGTGTACCAAACAAACAAAACAAACAAACAAATAGTATAAATACATTTCACCAATTTTACTCAATTAAAGGCAAAGAAAATTAAACAAATTGAGTTTAAACTAGAGAAATCCAGAGAATTTCTATGGATTAGGAAAGAATTTCTCTAGACTCACTTCAACCCAGAGAAATTTTCTCAAAACCAAAGAAATTTCCCTTTATAACCTAGAGAAATTTATTCAAATCAGAGAATAAGTCAATTAATTTTTTTGAAAAGAAAAAAATAATAATGCATACATGTCGAAGAAGATCCAGTCGAGAATCGAAGCTCTGATCAGTGATTTGAGACCAATACTCGTAAAGCTCATCTCTGCTGATCTTGTCAACATTTAACCTTCGTCATCTGCTCAGAACATCGAACAATTCCAACGCAAATTCCTTTGAATTATCTCTCAGTCCTACAACCAGAAAATGATAAAAATTGAGATTGAAAAGGTTTAAACACACATTGAAATCGCACCATTGTAATTGGAAAGAGTTTTATGACCTATGCATTGTTCGAAATCGGCACGATAGAGATAACCGTCCTTGGCAAGCTTGTTGAAGCTGTTCTGAACTTCGTTCCATCCATCAACGCTGTTGTTTTTGCTACTGCTGATGAATCTGAGTCCTTTTAGAGCTTTTTTGGCACCAGAACGGGTGCGATCGAGACGAGCTCTCTGTTGATGAAGAGCTCGAACGGCCAAAGCAGAGTCCAGACCGTTGCTACCTCCTACTACGAGAACGTTTTGAATCGCTGAACGCGACGCATGACCGTGACTCCACGAGAACCGTTTCAGCTCCGCCTTCAACTCCTGAGAGAAATGCTTCGGTTTTGCAACCGCCTCTGCTTTCAACTCTTGCGAGAATTGAAGGAGACGATTCGACGAACTCCGCCTCATTGTCAGAGATCGCGAACCAGAGGCAGAAGCCGACGCCGACGCCGACGCGGGCAGAGTGTCCGCTCCTCCGAAGAAGGCAAACTCTCGGTCGATGTTGAGGATCGTTCTCGGTTCCACACTGTGGAGTACGATCGTGTCATTGTCTTGGAGGTCGAGTGTCACTTCGACATAAAGATTGACTTGAGAGAGTTAATTTTCTCTATGACATATTGGTGTGGAAGTTGAGGGACCTTAGACATCATAATATAATATTGTGGATCTCTTCCATTACTAAAATTGGGAGAGGGACCTTAGACCAATTTTCCCTATATCTAAACCATAACAAATTATTTGGCCAATACTTAAAAAAATAACAAAAAATATTTTTCAATAAAATAAAAAAATAAAAAATATATATTTTGATTAAAAAAATTTTGAATTGAGTTTTGAGTTATGTGTTTGGTTATGAGTTTTGAAAATAGTTTTTGAATTGAGTTTGAAGTTACGTGTTTGCTTATGATTTGAGTGTGGAGTTGTGTTTTGAATTTAAAAAATTTACAAAAATGAAATAAAATATTTAAAATGAAAAATAAATTTTTCTTAAACGTTTTTAAATATTTAAAAGAAATAAATTTCAAAAATTTCAAAATTCAAAAACTTAAAACTCAAAATTCTTTTCAAAATTCAAAATTCAAAAACTCAAAAATATTTTCAAAACTCATAACCAAATAAATTTTTATTTTTTTACAATTGAACTCACAACTCCACACTTAAAATCACAATTTCACACTTAAATCATAATTATAAAATTAAACTAAACGGATTTTACCCTTAACTCTTACACTCACTAATATGCCTTGCACATTCTCTCTCTCTCACATACAGAGATGAAATTAGGATTTTATTACTACAGGGGTTAAAAGATAAATAATATTTTTTTACCGTATAGACAAATACACATATATGTACAATATGATATATAAATTATATATATACACATAAAAAAATTTAAATATCATATAAACAATCTCTAATAGAATGAATAAATTTTTTTCTAGAAAAATAACAAAGAATAAAAGATGAGATATATATCTTTTATACTAAGATACTATTTTATTTATAAAATAATATATATATATATATATATTGCCGATCAAAAATATATATACATATATATATTTAGAAGTACTATGGAAAATAAAATTTTCACAGTGACAGAGAGGTCATGACCCCTCATAATCTTCTTCTAGTTATATCTATCACACATACACTCACCTCATTCTTTTAATAAAAAAAACAAAAATAAAATAAAATTTATCTTTATATTTTTAAATTTATTTTATTTTATTAAAATATATTTAATATTTAATATACAAATTCTATTTTTATAAAATTGATATTGTTCTAAAAATATATTTAAAATTTTAAAATGCAACTAATATTTCACATATTTAATAAAAATTTAAATTAATAATCTAAAATATATAAAAATTTATAGAATTAAAATAATTTGTATGACTTAAGTTAATATAAATAATAAATTACTTTTCTAATTAATATATATATATATATATATATTGGTAGGAGAAAACGTTTAGAATAATACAAATGTAAATAAAAATATATTAATTCAAACCACGCAAATAATAACTCAAACCAAAATAATAATATAACAAAAAAAATAGGGGCCATGTTTGATCCCACACATAAAGTAAGACTTGCACCCACACAAACTAAACTTACACTTCAAATAGACTAGACTTGTATCCCTACACATATTAGACTTGCACCCCACACCTTACATAGATTAAACTCGTGTCCTATATAGATTAGACTTGCATTCCTACACAGATTCAACTTGCACTCCTCACAAATTAAACTTGCACTTCACACTAACTAAACTTTTACCTCTACACAGATTCAACATACACGCCAACACAGACTAGACTTGCATTACTACACAGATTTGACTTGCACACCCTACACATACTGAATATGCATCCCTACATAGACTAAGGTCTCGTTTGGCAAGTGGTGATTTTAGTCAAAAAGCCAAAAAAGTCACTAAAAAAATCAAAAAACCAACAACTTATACCAAAAATCAAAGATTCCCCTTTTCTCTCTACTTATTGCATATCTTTTCGTAAAAAAATCAAAAAATCATCCCAAACATACTAGTTTTTTATATATCATATTTTAGCTAAAAAGTCAAAAAATTACTAAAAAAGCCTGTTCCCAAACGAGGCTTAAACATACGCCCCACACAGATTAGATTTGCACCCTTACACAAATTCAACTTGCACCCTTCATAGATTTAATTGCACCTTATACAGACTAAGCTTGCACACCAACACAAACTAGACTTGCACAACTACAAAGATTTGACTTGCACACCACATAGAGTAAACTTGCACCCTCACATAGATTTGACTTGCATGCTAACACAGACTAGACTTGCACCACTACATAGGTTTAACTTAGACACCACATATACTAAACTTTCACCTACACATAATGAACATGTACCCCCCACACATAATGGACTTGCACCCTACAAAGTACTTTAAAAAATATATATACATCTGAGTTATTTATAAATGAAAAAGATATAACAAAAATATTTCTAATATTTTATATTATATTTTTTAAAATTAATTTTTAAATAAAAAATATTATTTTATCTGCAAAGAAAAAACATAGAGACTAATAAAAATATTAACTCAAATTATACAATTAATATAAAAATATTATTCAAACATACAAATATTATTTTTGTTAAAAACAAAAATAGAATCATATGAAAATGAAAACGATATCTTTTATCAAGCTACTTTTAATTTTTTTTTTTTTAAAAAAAAAAGACAATTTGAAAATTCAACCAAACAGTTTACGTTTCAAACTTAAAACTAGTTTAAAAAAAATTAATCGCACAGCATATTTCAATTTTATAAATAGTTATAAAAATAGTAAAAATTAGTCACGGGAAAAAAAAATTCACATAATATTGTAGACACCCCATTTTGACCGGCCCTAAAACTTGGGCACTTTCTTTTTATTACCCGATGATAACAATCAGAATGTGTTTCTCACAAAATTATTAGTAAGAGAGCTTGGAATTTGAGCTTTATTCCTAACCCTAAGCCTATATTGGCCAAGTGTTTAAGCCCTGTGGGACACCCGGAGTGAAATGGGACCAAACCGGAGCGAAACAAGACCGAACCGGAGCAAAAAGGGACAAAATCCACCCTAGCCGGTCAACCAGTAGCACCATCGCGGGCACGACCAATGTGATCGCGGGTGCAACTTGCCTTACTACAGTCGCGACCTATTCACATTGGGCGAGTTTTTTTTACTGTGTGGGCACTTTGTGATGTTATTTCTTACCTATTTTTGCACCAAATGCATGCTTACTCATTCTCCATTGACTAGTGCTTGAGCCAACGAGGATAATGCTCCATTTTAGTGCCCCATTAGCTCCATTATCTTCTCTAAATGATCCACTT